CTCGTATTCATGTGCGCTTTCTGATTAACATGCAATCAATATGATTAACCCTAAACCTGTTTAATCTATGTTGGTTTAATATTAATGCACATATAAACTATTATTGGCGATCACTTGAATTTATAATCACAATTAACCTAACAGGATTATTAATTATTTTATTAAGCGTGAATGCAAATACAAATTCCCTTTAACCTGCAATAAAAGGTGATCAAGCAATAACAATATAAAATATTATGCATATCAAGCAACATAATAAATAATCATAAATCAATCATAATCATAAATGTTAAAAAGATCATAGGAAGCATCATACTTGATATTAAAAACACCCTAGACATAATACTAGGAATATCATAAATAACAATCTAAGCATGATATCTACATCATGAAATCAATTAAACCATTAAAGTACTTACTTGGATGTCTCGTATCTCTTTCTAATTACAAAATACACAAGTTAGTAACTTCAAGGAAAATAGATAATCAAAACAATTAAATTAAATAATTGAAAGAGAAATTTGGGGACCAAACCCTCAGAAATTAAAACCTTTCACGTCTAGGGCGAAGGCAACTTCGAATATAGCTAGGTGTTTCTAGATCTTGTGAATGCGGGATTTTGTATTAAAGAGAAAAGTTTAGAAAGAATGCTAAAAGATTAATGATTCATAAACTAATTGTTGACGATTGATGATTGTAGATGATGAATGAAAACGGAATTTATTAAAACTTGAACTTAAGAATAAAAGAAATGGTGAATGATAGATGATAATCCGTCCCTCCAAACGGAGTTTTTGATACGATATTTATAGAGAAAATCATCCAAAAAAAGATAATTTATCAAAACAGAGTCTAAAGATCGCAAAACCAACTTGGCGCCAGACCTGGCTCATTGGCGCTAGGACCAGTGGCTAGCGCCAGGTGCAATGGCTGGCGTCTGGCGCCAATCCTGGTTCCAGGCGCCAAGGCCTGGGGTTGGACGCCAAACCAGCTTTTAACGCGTTTTCGAAAATCTGATAAAATTCCTGTACTGGAAGATAAAATAATATAATTTCAGTCGAAAATGCTATTTGATCTTGATTAAAACTCTAAAGAATCCTAATTGAATTAAGAATGATAAAACCTTCTAGAATGTTCTAGAAGACCAAAACCATTTCTAATTACATTAGGAATGATAAATCATATTAGGCCCTCCCCTAGATCATTGGGCCGTACTTAAAACTCAAACCAGGCCCAGTTTAGTAAATTGGCCATAAATTCCTCAATATTCATCGGAATTGGGCTTATAATATATCGTTGGAAAGGTCTTTGCAAGACCCATCCAACTACACCACTATTGGATCCATATCATGGACCAACCAAACTGGATTGGCTGTTTTCTTAAAATAAAGTTTTCAAAAACAGAGAGAAGAGAAAAGAAATAAAACTTTCCGCAACACTAGACCTTTCCACACTTTCGTTTCATTCGATTATGATTCAACGTGAAAGGTACTCATCACTGGGTTTGGTTTTGGGGAGACACAAATGAGTGTCTACAGTGGTACATTTACAATTGGTCTCACGTGCCCATCTCTCTCCTCCTTTCTCTCACCCCCATGTGCTTTACAATATTTTGCAATATTTGCAAATATATATCAAACCTACATTAGTATTTCCTCGATTTTAATCTGTATTGATTGGATTATTATTAATCTTGGCTTGACCTTCACAATTCACCCCTTGATTTGTACTTCGTATGATTACGTAGATTTGATAACTCAATCAAATTTTTTTTTTCCAAAATATAATGGAAAACTACCAACTTAGGACATGTTTGACATCATTTTTTGTTTTTTTAAAAACAAAAAATAAAAATAAGGTTGTTCCACTTTATCTAAAAAATATCATGATTCTAATAAGTTTGTCTAATTTTTGGTTCATTATATGACATATATCCTATGATTTTGAAAAATAAAAAACAAAAAATAGAATACCATAAACAAACCATAAACTAGTGGTTTTCTCGGCCTTAAAAACACCATTTGAGTTGACAATCTCCTTGATTGGCTACCGCTAATTCAGACGGCAGTTTTGGGCTAAATCAGGAGGGAAAAAAAGTGGTTTAGTACATAGATGATGACATAGAGAGCAGGTTGGAAAATTGTGAAAGAGTAATGTATATATGAATGTAGTTCAAAGTGTAAATGTATTTATGAGTGTAGTTCTTTAGAGCATTATTGAGGAAAAGCACTTCATAAATCCTCCAAAATTAAAACAATCTTAAAAAAAAAAAAAAAGCTCTACATGACAATGAATTTCAAATATTTGGGTGTCAAGAAACACAACCTTTATTGTAATTTTTAAAATTTAAACCATCCATTATATACGTAGTAAATCATTATGTTTCAATTTCATCCCGCTCTTCATTATTATTGCTTCAAAATAAAATATGCATTTTTTAAGCAAAAAGTGGAAGTATGGTGAAAAATGAAAATTGGTGCACATGTTTGCAAATTGGCTAGAGAATAAAAAGTACTCCCCCGGTTATGTTTTGTTCTAACCACTTTTCGTTGTAAGTCGCTTTTTTTATGCTCTACTCACAACAATGATAGAAAAATTAGATTACAAAGAACACACGCAGTGAGCCAGTGACACAACTTATACAATTTGTTGGATATTTTAACTAAAAATAATTATTATTAATTGGTTTTAATTTAATGTATTTATTTTTTAATTTAAAATATAACTTAAGTATTTCATTTTTGAAGTTACTGTATTATTTGCTTTAATGTTTGCTTTGACTTTGTGGTGGCTTTGGAAGTGGCGTAATACTAGGAGCTTTGATGGGGATGCATCTAATATGCCTGTAGATCAAGTAGCATTTATATATGCTAGGGGTAGCCACGGTGAAGAGGGCGTGGGAGAGGCATTTCATAATTCACAATCCGGCCAAAAGAAAGAGAGAGAAGAGATATTTGTGCGATGGAGTCTGCCTAGAGTTGGCTGGGTTATGCTAAACTCATATGGTGATGCGTGTGGGAACCCGGGCCTGGTTTCTGGTGGTGGATTGATTCGAGGACACAAAGGGGAGCTTCATGAAGTGTTCGCAATTAATTGTGGCATTTGTATCTGTACCAAGGCTGAATTTCTTGTGGTGCTCCAATGCTTAGCCATAGCTTGGAATGGTGGGCACAAGAAGGTTCAAGTCTGTGTGGATTCTGAAGTTGTTGTTAGAATGTTATCGTTCAAAAGTGTCGTGCCCTTATCTCGAGAGAAGAGGGATGGGACGTCACCATTGAACACTGTTACAGGGAGGCAAATTGTGTTGCGGATTGGCTGGCCAATTTTGAAGTGGAAGCATCTCAACCCCTTACTATCTTCTTACCGGTCCCTAAGGATCTTACTGCGGTTTGATTGGAGGAGCTTGAGGGAGCAACTAGACCGATGATGGTGCCAACTCGAGAGTAACGTCTTCATTTGGGGAGCTGCTCTTTAGTTTAGTGCTTTAACTGTTTCTTTTTTGTGTTTTTTCTTTATGTTTTTTTTGTTTTTTTTTCTTTTGTTTTTGTGTGTTCTGTTTCTAAGCTCTGCCCATTTTCCCACAAAAAAAAAGAAGTTATTGTATTATTTTCTCACCATATTTAAATTAACATTATTATGAGATTTGTAACTCTTAATCTATTTTTAAAGTTACTAACGTATAATTGGTTTTTAAAACAAAATTAATACCTAAAACTCCGCCTGAAGATCAATGTCACACAAGAAAGCCTTGCCCTAGCTGACCGGGCGGAGTTTCGGGAAGTGTATTTTTACTATTTTCGGGTTTCTTATCTTAAGGGTTATAAATACCCTTTGTAAATCCCAACTAAACATACTTCGTTATTACTTTTTAGCAGCTTTTAACCTTCATTAGAACCCTAATATTCTCTCTAGATCTAGATTAATTTGCACTTTCAAGTTTTGATCTTTGTTCATCAATAATTGGTACTTTTCTTCATTCAAGTATTTGGTATTCATCTTTATTTCTTCTTTTACTTTTAAATGCTTATTAATCATGTTTTCTTCATTGAATATTGTTTTTGATTTCATTAATATGTGTGAGTAGTTTTCTTATTCCAAGATCTAGCGGAACCCGAATATGATTAATGCATGATTTAATTCTTTAAATTCTCTAATAATAATTGTAATTGATATGCTTAATTGATTATGCTTATGCCAATACTAGATTAGGGATAATTGGTTTATTATTAATCCTTTGTTTTTATCGCAACGGGAGTTGGGTTTTGACGGATTTGAATAAATCAGTTAAGGGTTTGAAGTTCATCAAGGGAGTAGTTGAATGGATGATTAGGAAGTCAGAGTAATGTGCTTAAGGTCTTTAATTTACATGATTCCACAGAAGTAGGCTTGAGTGTGATTAGAGAAGCCATTGATAACTCGGGAGAGACCATTGGTACTATTCAGGGATTACTTTTCCTCTTTAATCAATTGAACTATGTGTTAGGGGTAGAACGACTATTGCATTAATTGTATTCGTGGTGATGCTTGATCTTGGATGTTTTTAGCATTGAATTGTCATATTGTTTAGATTTAATCGTTTTAATTATCTCTTTAGTTATTGATTCTTACTTATTTGAATTGGTTACTTGCTTAGTAATTGCTTGAGTCTATTTAATTAGTTGAACCATAGTCTCTTGGGATCCGACCCTTGCTTGCCCATCTACATAGTAGTAGTCTAGTTAGGTTTATTTTTGTTAGGTACGCGACACGCCTATCAAATTTTGGAGCCGTTGTCGGGGACTAATGGTTTCATTCTAGTTATTTGTGATTCGTTTTTACTAAGCATATATTTTGTTTCTTCGGCTATTGTTCCTTGTGTCTTTGATCTCCCGTTTTAGTTTTTTTGTTGCATGCAAACTCAAAGTTCAGGTTCAGATGATTTAACACCTTTTGATTCTGAGATCGAAGCTATTGCGAGAAGACGAAGAGGTAGAAGAAGGAGAAATCGAAATACAAGAAACATGGTTGATCCGGGAACAAAATCTCTTTTGGAGTATGGTATTCCGGATACAACAACCGAATTTCTCTCCAGTATTGTTAGACCACCTGTCACTGCTCAGAGTTTTGAGTTGAAGCCCCAATTCATACAGTTCATCTCCAATGATTCTTTTGCGGGCTCATCGAATGATTGCCCTGTGACTCACATTGATAGTTTCCTGGAGAAGTGTGACACTATGAAGCTCAATGGTGTCACTGATGATGCTATTAGACTATGCCTTTTCCCTTTTTCACTACGAGATAGAGCCAGGGAGTGGTTACGGGATGAAGGTATTGGTTCTTTTGATACGTGGGACAAGCTTGCCAAGGCCTTTCTAGTCAAATTCTTAGGGCAAGAGAAACCCGCAAAATTAAGGAACGAGCTATCTACTTTCCATCAATCCAATGACGAATCCCTATATGAGGCATGGAGAAGATTTAAGCGATTGCAAAGACAATGCCCTCACCATGGTATTCCAGAGTGGATGTTGATCCAAACATTCTATAATGGTTTGACCCATGAGTTTCGCATATACATTGACGCTGCGTCCGGAGGTTCTATCATGATGAAGAACCCAACCGATGCTAAGGATTTGATTGAGAAGATGGAGGCTAATGATAATTACCATCCAAGGGGACGAAATGCTATCAACATAGGTAATAAACATGATGTTGATGCTCTAACCATGTTGACTAGTTCTGTGCAAGCACTAACTCATAAAGTCAATCAACTCTAAGCCGAGTCCCCTTGATCCTCGATGGAAACTTGTCAGATGTGTGGATTGCAAGGCCATACTGCAACGGAGTGTCAACCTAATTATGATGGAATGACAATTGAGCAAGCTAATGCTTTTTATACCATAACCTCTACAAAGGCCATTTGATGAAGGGTGGAGAAATTATCAAGGGTTCTCATATATGAACAATCAGGCTCAAGTGAATCCTCAACCACCACCTGCTTTTCAAGCAAGAGCACCTTTCAATCATCAATCCACACAACTACCACCACCCCAAACCTCAACATTTGATCTTGAATCAATTATGAAGGTTCTACCTCCCAAATTCAACAACAAGAGCTTATATCAAAGCAATTTGAGCTACAAGCAAAGCAAAATGAGTACTTTGAAAACTCAATCCAATTGCTCACTGCTCAAAATAAGAGGATAAAGACTCATCTTTCTCAACTTTCACAGCAAGTGAGTCATCTAACAACTCTTCAAGATCAAGCAAAAGTCTAGACGAAACAATGCAATGCAATTTTCGTGAAGAGGGATGAATTGTTTACGGGTGGATTAGAAGAGAAAGTGTGCAATGTGGAGTCAAGAATAGAGAAGCATGAGAGAGAAGGTCCCAAATATGTTTCTCCACAAGCATATGAGGAGCCGATGCCTTTCCCGCAAAGGTTATCAAAAGTTGTGCTCGATAAGCATTTAGGGAAGTATTCCGAGACTCTTAAGAAGGTATATGCTACCATTCCTTTTTCCGATCTTGTAGTTCAAATGCCTCAATTTGCAAATTTTGTGAAAGAAATTCTAGATCATGATCATAATGATAAGAAATTAGAAAGTTTGGTAGTAAAGGAGAAATGTCCTTATCTTTTACATGATAGCTTACCACCTAAATTGCATGATCTTGGTAGTTTTACTATCCCTTGTATGATAAACAAACCATATTTTGATAGGGTCTTGTGTGATCTGGGTGCTAGTGTTAACTTAATGCCTTCTGCAGTGTATGACAAATTAGGTTTGAAAAACCTTAAACCCTCTCCTATATCTCTTCATATGGCTGATAGAACTGTTAGACTCCCTAAGGGTGTAGTTGAAGATGTATTAGTTGGGATTGGTGAACTTGTTTTTCCTGTTGACTTTGTTGCAGTGGATATGAAAGAAGACCATAAGATCCCACTCATCTTTGGTCGCCCTTTTCTTGCTACAAGTCAAGCTCTAATAGATGTTCCTAAAGGACAAGTGACCATAAGAGCTCAAGATAAACAAGTTGTGTTTAAGCTTTTCAATGACCATAATTTTACTTTCGATGGTGGTACTTGTTTGAGAATCGATGCTACTAACCCTTTGGTTGATAAGTGTGTTTCTAATAGAAATCTTGTGAGAAAAAAGGACAATATTCCACCACATGATGGGTTTAGCTACATCAAAGTAAATTCGGATACAAGGCTCATCAACTCTAATTTGAAAGAGTCATTTGGAGGTGAATATATTAATGAACAATACCATGGAGTATCTTATGTGTGTGGTGACCCAGGTTGAGCTACTAAAGAAGGGTCGAGCTAAAGACCTTAAACAAGCGCTAAATGGGAGGCAACCCATTTCCTTTTTTGTTTTATTTTCCTTTTAGTTTCTTTTTCTTGTTTTTGTTTTTTTAGTGTCTTGGGGATATGTTGCGATGTTATTTTGAGGGTGGTCCCAGCTCCGCCCTTAGGTATGATCCCTCCTCTTTCAGTAGGGCCTAGTTTTCTTTTTCCCTTGCTTGTTCTTATTCGATATATGTTCACATTGAGGACAATGTGAAGTTTAGCTTGGAGGAGGGATTACTTTCTGCTTTGGGTTTTTTATACGACTATGCCTCGATGATGATATGTAATAATATGTGTGATTTTTAAAATTGAAAAACTTGTTTTTGAAAACCCATTCACTGATTGATTTGAAATTGAACTTGTTTGTGGCTAGAATGGTCTCCCCGCTCGACCAATATGGATAGCTTGAGTACCTATGTGAGACTTTTGAGCCATCTTTGACTGATACATCTTATTTCAGCCATTCTTTTTTCATGTGTGTTAGATTTTCCTTCATGTGATTTGATTCTTGGATTTGCTTTGCGATTATTTGAGACTTACGATGCAATGTGGAAGAGTGATTGAAGTTCCTTTTAGATAATTAAAGCCAAAACTTCTTAGGTGTTTGAGGCTTATTCTATTTTCGTTTTATTTTACATTAACTCTTAGGATGAACCAAATTGAGCCATGATTCCCCTTCTTTGACGCCTTACATTTTATGCCTTAGAGCCTTTTTGTAGGTTTATTTGATGGAGAATCAATGTATTATTTATGCCCTATTGAGTTGTGTTTGGAAAATAAAAGAGAAAGAAAAAAGAATTTAGAAAAAAAGAGCAAAAATGAAAAAAATCAGAAAAATAAGTTTGTGTATGCTCTAAGTTTCAAAAAAAAAAAAAAGAAAAAAAATGAGAAAATGAGAATGAATAAGAAAAAAAGCAATATTTGCCATGGAAATCTATGTTGTCTTGTGAAGAAAAGTGAGAATAAGGGCATGCTTATATGTTGTGCGGAGGATATAAGGTTGGTTTAGTTTGAACCCGACATTTGGCTATGTAGTGGGATTAGGATTTTTGTTATTTTTGAGCACCACATTCCCAAATGACATCGTCTAACCCCATATAACCAAGCCTACCCTTATTTAGGATCTCATGACTTCCGTACTTGCATCATCGCTTTACAAGTGGAGAAAATCTATAAGCAAACCCAAAGAGGACAATTGCATGAAGTCAACGTGCATAATTGCAATTAGGATGAGTGGTTTCTTATTCTAACCCTTATAAACACATGAGTGGCTTATTTGTTTTATTTGCACAACTAAAGTGAGATGCTATTCATATATGACTGAGTTGGTTAGAGGAGATGTGTGGAAAGATTGGTTGTCAATTCCGAGTGCTTGAAGTTTATGGTGGTTTTATAATCACTAACTTGCATTTCTTGTTTTTTCACTTGGTTTTAATTCGTTCGCACATATATTCTTGCTTGAGGGGCCATCCTACTCTTCTTGTGTTCTATGTTTCAATGCTTGAGGACAAGCATTGGTCTAGCTTGGGGGAGTTTGATAAGTCGTATATTGAGCATGTTTTTAGAGTCCATTTAGGTAGTTTTCAAGATTAGATTAATTGTTCATAGCTTATTTTAGCTTGTTTTGGTTTGGTTGTGATCATGTTGTGCTTTTATGGGTAGTTTTGTTGTTTTTGATGTATTTCAGGATGAACGAGACTAATTTGGATGGTCACGAGAGTTTGTTAAGGTGGAAGAGTGATGATACCAGTGTCCGCCCTGCAGGGCAAAGGAAGGAGAAGAGAAGAGCAAAGTAGTACATAGATGTATCTTACCCCCAATGCCTTGGCAGGGCAAGGTTGCCCGGGCTGACCGGGCAAGTGAGGTTATCAACATTATAAGCTCCGAAAGTCAGATTCTCTACTTGTTGCTTCTCGCGCCCGACCGGGTAGCCTTCCCCTGGCTGAGGGCGATGGGGGTAAGATAAATCTATGTACTACTTTGCTCTTCTCTTCTCCTTCCTTTGCCCTGGCTGCCAAGGCAATGTTGCCCTCCCAGGGCGGACACTGATATCATCACTCTTCCACCTTAACAAACTCTCGTGACCATCCAAATTAGTCTCGTTCATCCTGAAATACATAAAAAACAACGAAACTATCCATAAAAGCACAACATGATCACAACCACACCAAAACAAGCTAAAATAAGCTATGAACAATTAATCTAATCTTGAAAACTACCTAAATGGACTCTAAAAACACGCTCAATATACGACTTATCATACATATATATATATATATAAATAATTAGCTCGATACAAATGATAAATGATAATTACCTATTTACAATTAGTTAGAGTTTAGCCTATAATAATTGACAAAGGCATGTACATTGTAAATATGCAGATATTTTCTTAATGATAAAGAAGGAAGATATTTTCTCAATCTTTCAAAGGATTTTTTTTTAAAATATTTTTTTTTCTTCCCAATTTCCCCTTTTTTATGCACATATATAATTTATGTGGTCTGTAAGATGATTAAGATCAATGTTTGGTTATTCCTAGCACATATACATGACCCAACTTGATCATAACCCGCAAATTATTGACTTGAACCAAATTAAATTAGCTTGGTCAACCTAGCTAATTTGCTTGAGTTAAACTTGCCAAATAAAAAGGGGTTAACAAATATATAAAATTAAATTTAAAAAGCTAATTAAGAGCATCTCATCATTGGAATGATCGAGGTGACGTGACCAGTCACTGTCTAAGTAAAAAAAACCCACTATAGTACGGCTGGACAACGAGTTATGAACCTAGGGTTAACACCTCATCTGTCGGTAAAGGTGCACTCCAATGGACGAAGTGAAAAGATTGAGACCCGTCTTTGTTGGTTGAGATATTGGAACACTTTTTAGACAAGATACTAGAAGAGAGAAATAAGTAATTTGGTATTTTAGAAATAAGTAGAAGATTTTTTTTCCCACTTACCACTTGAAAGGAAGAGCTTGTTTTTTTTTTTATTTTATTTATTTATTTATTTTAATAATAATTATTAAAGAGAACGTTGAAATTAATAGGAAATAAAGAGTTTTGTAACCAAAGAATAATTTGACAATAAACTCAGGGCCTATTCTGATTAACTGAACTGAACTAAACTGAACTTAACTTAACTTATTGGAGTTGAACCGAATATTTTATAATAGAAGGAAATTAAGAACTGAACTGAATTTAACTGAAAATAGTCGAAAAAGAACAGACCCTCAATTTGTAATGCTAATCTATCATTATCTATAATTAAATATTGTGATTTTTTTTTAATAATAATTTGTACTATGATTCTATTAATGCCAAAATGTTTAATACTTGTAATTATATTTAATTAATATTTCTTAATTCTTGTCAAAAAAAAAAAAAAATTCTTTAATGCAAATACCTAAAAAAACCCGAACATTTGCTGAAAAAAAAAGATTTATTTATTTGCAATACCTACTTTGAAGAACATTAAAAAAAAAAAAAAAAAATAAGAGGTTGTATTCCACTTTTCTGTACTAAGGTTGTGTTTGGTAACTAGCTTATTTGAGCAAAATTAGCTTATTTGACTAATATTAGTTTATTGACTATTAAATAAGCTAATTTAAGGTGTTTGGTGGAAATCTTATTTAAAGAGATTATTCCACTAAATAAGTTCTTTTTCAAAAACTTCTTTTAGAAGCTTTTTCAATTAGCCTATTCAATTCTTATGGTGAAATGACATCGATACCCCCATTTAATTAAAAAAACCTATATGAATCACCTACCCTATAATTAGCTTATTGGTCATTTCACATAATCAATTAGATTTAAACAATCAACTATTTTACCAAACACTTTTCTACAATAAACTAATAAAATAAGTTAGTGAAATCAGTTAATACAATCAACTTATTAAAATCAATTAACACAATCAACTTCACCTTTTCTCCAAACCCGGCCTAAAATTTTTCAATCACAGATCACCCTAATCCCCAAATTACAATGACTTTAATAACGCTCTAATGCACCCCCAAGGCCTCAACCAAATATTCAACGTCGAACCACTTATCAAGTTATCAGCCTTCACGCCAAAATCCAAAACAGAAAAAACACTTGCACACCAACTGTTCGACAAAAAGCCTAACTGAAGGAAGAACAGAGGAAACTTCAAAAATTTTCAAAACCTCTCTTTTATCGAACCAATTTCTTCTCCTTGCATTCAATTAAAAGCAAAGGATCTTCTTTTTCAGTTGGATACACAGCAATTGTAAGTCTATCATGCCCAATTTAGCTTCTTTTGTTTCTAGGGAAACTAAATCAATTAAAATTCTATTTGCAGTTGTATTAAAGGGTGATTGGAACCAATTTTTAAAACCCCAAATTGGTTCTAATTTGACTTCAGTAAAAGTTGAGAAAATATTATCACATCTTTCATTAGATTATTATGATTCATGGGTATTTTATGAATGGGTTGAAAAGATTCCTGGGTATAAGCATTCCCTTGAATTAACTTGGTCTATGATTCATTTGTTGACAAAACACAACCACTTTAGAATTGCACAGAATTTGCTTCAGAAAATTGCTCTTAAGAATTATTTATCATCCCACACTGTTCTGAATGCCCTTGTGGGTGCCCAGCATGACCCAGGTTCGAATTCGCAGATTTTGAGTTGGTTAGTGATATATTATGCTGATTCTAAGATGACTCAGGATGCTATTCAAGTGTTTGAGTACATGAAAATTAATAGGATTAAACCTCATTTACATGCTTGTACTGTACTTTTGAGTTCTCTAGTGAAGGTGGGGTTGACTGCTACCATGTGGAAAATGTACAATATGATGTTGAAACTTGAGATTGATCCTAATATTCATGTGTATAATGTGTTGCTTCATGGTTGTTGCAAGTCTAAGGATGTGGAAAAGGCGGAACAGTTGTTGAATGAGTTGGAATTGAAGTGCATATTGCCTGATCTTTTCACTTATAATACACTGATTTCTTTGTATGTAAAGAATGGTAAACACTATGAAGCTTTGTCTGTTCAATACAGGATGGAAAATGCTGGTGTGGCACCCGATATTGTGACTTATAATTGCCTATTATTTGGATTTTGTCGGGAAGGTAGGATGAGGGAGGCTTTGAGGCTTTTTAATGATATCAAGGGTGCAAAACCTAACCTTGTGACATATACCACTTTGGTTGATGGATATTGTCGGGCAAATGACGTAGAGGAAGCATTGAGGTTGTGCCAAGTAATGGAGGCTAAAGGTGTCTATCCATCAGTTGTTACTTATAATTCGATTCTACGCAAACTTTGTGAACAAGGGAGGATACGGGATGCGAACAAGCTTTTGAATGAGATGAGCGAGAAGAAGGTAGAGCCTGATAATGTTACTTGCAATACATTGATAAATGCTTATTGCAAGATAGGAGATCTGGAATCTGCCTTAAAAGTCAGAAACAAGATGTTAGAGGGTGGGTTGAAGGTTGATCAATATACTTTTAAGGCACTTATACATGGTTTCTGCAATGCCAAAGAGATAGATAAAGCAAAAGAGCTGCTTTTTGATATGCTTGATGCGGGTTATTCTCCAAGTTTTTGCACTTATTCGTGGATTGTAGATGTTTACTGTCACCTGGATAATGAAAAGGCAGTAGCAAGACTGCCAAATGAGCTTGCAAAGAGAGGTCTATTTGTTGATATCTCAGTGTATCGAGCTCTTATTAGAAGTCTGTGTAAAAAAGACAGAACTGAATGGGCTAAAATAATTTTTGATTGTATGGAAGAGAAAGGAATCAAGGGAGACAGTCTTGTATACACTAGCTTAGCATTTGCCTACTTTAAAGAAGGGAAGAGAAGGGAGACCTCAGAGTTATTAGATGAGATGTACAAGAGGAGGTTAAGTGTAACATTAAGAATATATAAATGTTTAAGTGCTTCAAAAGCAAGTGAGAGCAACTTATTAGAGGTCTTTTGGAATCACTTGTTGGAAAGAAAGCTTATCTCAAAGAATGTTTACAAGCACATGCAAGACCTAAATTGACCTCCCATTAAGCTGAGTGACTTTTGTATCCTGGCATTTCAATGCAGCATGTCGAAATTGGACAGGGATACGGATACCCTTTTCTGGAAAAGAATGACGGGATATAAGTAATTTTGCTCTGTGTTCATTCAAGCTTTCCAGCTCAACTACCTTCTTTACTGGTGTAGGTAATATTAATTATTGTACTACCTAAATTAGTACAGTTATTAGTCTTACGGAATTATTTGAAGTTATAAAGATCTCTCTCTCCCTTTTTTTTTTTCTTTTTTTTTTCTTTTTTGTGAAAAATATAAAGATCTCTTTTATTTAATACGAAGTAGAAAATTAGAAAATTATTCAAAGTCTAGAGTGAATCTCATAGTGTAGTACTCCGACCACCGTCAAAACAGTCCTGTCCTTGTGTCTTTGTGAGCTTTGCTGTTTTCTCTATATCAAACCTAGACAAAGAACAATTTATTTTATTTTTAATATTTTATAATAGTCATTTTCTGGGATCTCTACGAACAATCGGTATGCTTAAAGCTTTTTACTTTGTTTTAAAGCTTACATTCGTTTAATTTGTTATGGAGTATTTTTTACTTGAATTGTTGTTGTGTCATACTCAATTACTCATCTAGCGTCATGGATAAATTTACGATAAAACCACGAGTAAATAGGTGCTCCTCGTATTAATTTTTAGGTAAAATCACGTGTTGGTAGTGCAGTATGTCGATAGTATAAATGTATATTTCTGATTGAAGCTTATGTACGAATTTGCATGTTCTATTTCGTTTAAGAATTGTTACTTTTTTGTGTCAAAAATGGAATTGTTACTCCTTGTTAGCTTCAATGGCAGCAAGGAGTTGCTGTATTGTTTTTTATGCTGTTATTTGCTCAAGTTTTATTCTTCAATTGTGGATAGTACTTTCTGTTTTTGGAGTATGTAACTGTAATTCTTTCCTTATCAGGTATTGTGTTGATCAATGGTTTCTTCTAGGTGACCAAAGCACCAAACTATGTCATAACTTGTGAGGAAAGCCAAGAAACATTCAAATGGGGAATCAAGATAGTAACAGATGATTCAGAAATTAACTCTTACAAGTCTTTTACCTATCAAGGTGTCAAATAGTGTCTTCATGACTGTGTTTACCTATATGGTCAAGGTGCGAAAGATACAGATATAGCTAAACTTGTAAAGACGTGGGAGTAAAAAACAGGAGCAAGAGAAAGAAAGTTATATGGTTTTTCTGCCCAATAGATGTATGCAATTTCTTAAGGAGTACAAGCCATTTTAGTATGACCTATTTATGGCTTCTGGTGAGGGCCAAGGAGTTTCCAACATTATTCCTCTGGTAATTTCTCCTACCTTCTTGTTCACTTTCCTAATAATTTCCCATGTCTGGCAAGCTTACAAATTGTATTTTGGGAATCACTGTGAATGCTTTACTTATCAAATTTATGCACTTTATGAGTCCAATGAATATATATTGGTTGAACAAAAATAGGTAGTTTTGTTCTAACTACTCCGATTTGCTTTGTGCATCTATTTAACATTTCCCTTGTTTTTGTTATTCGTAAGTGAAAACTGTCTTTCCTTTGGAAGAGTTTCTGTAGATGTTGTATTAAGGGCACATATCCAAATGAATCAGTAGGCACTATAGCCATATTTTACTCAGAACTTTATGGTTGGATGAAACAATTAATTGCTGTAAGAAAATGATGTATATCATTAATCAACCTTGTATAGGTCTAGCTGTCCAATCTATGGACTTGGTGAATCAAACTATCAAAGTTTATCGAGACACTGTTAAGAGCAATGTTTATATTCCCTTTTGGCAAGCCAGGTGTAATTTTGTCTAATACTAGGATGCTCCCTGCAAGAACAGTCTGTGAATATGGATGGGGTTACATTGTCGAAATGTTTTAAAAGAATTTAGGAAAATTATCTTAATTTTCTCCCCTTTTTTTTATTAAGCTATTGTTGGGAAATGTAATGTTGCATGTACTGCAAAGGATAGAAGGAACACTCTTCTATCTAAATCAGATTTGGCAAAGACTAACAACTATGTTTCCCATCCTTGATGTTGGAGATCTGAGGATATCAAATACGTTTCCTGATATCATTGACAAGATAAAAGATTAGTGTGAACTGTATGATTTTTATGTCTTAGTTGGATTACTTGTACTTTAAAGAAATCTTGGTAAAACGTATATAATTTTCTACTTGGCTTCAGTTCTTATAGTTAGTTGTTGGAGGCCTCTTTTTTTTTTTTTTTTTTTTTTTTTTTTTTTTTTTTTTTCTCATACTATATTGACATTGAAGTGACTTTCTTGATAAAGACCGACTTAGGTTTATTGCAAACAATGCAATAATGGTATCAATGGGAAGTCAAAGTGTCAAACTTGTTGTGGTTGGTTTGTTTAAAATGTGACTTTTTTTTTACCTAGGAGGGTAACGATTTTTTGCTGTGTTTGCTTGAGTGCAAGAATATATGAGTTACAGTAGTACGGACTATTACTAGAAGAGCGCTTCTTGCTAATTTATTACAAGACAATAAAAAGCTACCTTCAAAAAAGTGAAATTTCAATGCTCTCATACAAGATTTTACCAAGAAAAAACTGTAGTTGGTCTTGCACTCTTGCCTTTGACATTTGTAATATTCCTTCTATTTGAAGTGTTTGGATTTTATGTTGGTTCTTTATATTCTGTTGTCCACAAGTCATATTATATATGCTTGTAATGTCTATATCTGTAATCTTTTTCTCTTTCGTATTTTAATGAGTAGGCAGTTGGTTATCTTCATTATTGTTTTGCAATGTGTTCTTTATGTTCTGGTATTCTATTCATCTTTTGAAATTATCTGAATTAGTATGTCTATGTTTCTACTATTTTACAACACAACACACCACACTAGACCTGGCAATCCTGACCCAGACCCGATGACCCATGACCCGATCCATGAACCGAAACCAGTGACCCGAAATTGACCCAAAACCCGAATTAACCCGACCCGACCCATACCCGACCTGAAGTGGAATTGACCCGACCTTGACCCGAAACCCGAAATGACCCAACCCGACCCGAGATGACCCGACCCAAAGTTGACCCGAGACCCGAAGTTGACCCGACCCGAAAATGACCCGACCTTTAACTTCTTTTAGTAAATAATTATATAAGTTACTATCTCCGTTAACTTTTATTTGCAATTTTGGAACATTTTATATCTCACAAATAATACCCCAAACTTACAAATAAAAGTTAACGGAGGTAGTATAAAAAGTTTATATTAGGAAATTATACATTAAAATAGACCCAACAACATCTTACATGACTACATTGACTTTCATATAATAGCTAAAAAAGATGGTCAAAGTGAGATGTGTGAATAGTGCAAAATGTCAAATCGTTGAGAGTAATTTTGGACGAAGGGAGTACAAGAATAATTCAAAAAAATTATTACAACAATGACAATGATAATAGGAGTACGTATTAAAACTAATATCAATAAGAGAGTGAGGTATAACTCAATTAGTTCTTCTTAGTTTCAGGAGATCTTGAAAGTGATTCTTAGCCTAAAGTTCTAAACACACAAAAAAAAAAAGTTAATAAAAGTCAAACAATTACTATAATCCATGAAAAAAATAGCCTTAATAAATATAGTGAGTTTTTCGTCAAAAAATAAATAAATATATATACAGAGTTGAATTTAACCCAATGAATCACCCAAATATGACTCGACTAGAAGTTGACCCGACCCGAAGTTGACCCGGAAATTGGATCCGAAAATTGACCTTGACCCGAACTGACCTGACCCGAAATTAACCCGACCCAAACTTGACCCGACCTGAACTCGACCCGAATTGTTGACCCGATACCCGACCCGACCCGATTATCAGTCGACCCGAAATCAACCCGAAACCCAAAATGACCCGAACCGACCCGAACTTAACCCGATAATCTTTTGACCCGAACCGAAATGACCCGACCCATACCCGACCCGACCCATACCCGACCCGAATGACCCATTTGCCAGGTCTACACCACACCACATGTACAATTTTTTTTTTTTTTTTTTTTTTTTTTTTTTTTTTTTTTTTTTTTTTTTTTTTTTTTTTTTTTTTTTCCTTTTTACCTGCTTTACTTTCTAATGGCGGTTATAGACAGTTATGTTCTCTCTTGTTATATATAAGCAGGCATTTTATATCTTACCATTGAATTAGCAAACATTTTCTTAAGTCCATGTGTATGCCTAGCTTCTTCTATTGTTCGTTTTGAACAGTTGAGTGACCACTTTGCCTTAATTTACTGGTTAAAAAGAAGATTCTGCCCTTGCGTCCTTTATCTGATGCTGCAATATTAATATTATCTTGGATGTTGACTAAGATATGGGAAGACCTCCATGTTGTGACGAAGAAGGTGTTAAGAAAGGACCCTGGATTCCTGAAGAAGATCAAAAACTCCATTCGTTATGGTTCTGCGAGAGAGGGAGATTTGAGGTATGGGGCTCTTGTTTTTTCATCACCATTGACATTTCTACCGCGGATGCCGCCGCCGCCGTCAAGGTTCTCTTCTTCTTGATTGTTTGTTCATATTGATGATTTCTGGTGATATATTTGATCAATTTGATTTTGGATTACTGAGTGTTCTCGGAAACCCTAGAATTTAACTAAATATAAATTCAAGAAAAATATGACAGAAGTTAAAAATTGGAAAATTACCCAACATTTTATTAGCACACACAATTTTGGAAATCTTAGACAATAATTTACATAGGTAATTGCTACTTATTGTAAATTTTTTGTTTATTTAGTGAGAAATTTGAAATCAATTAATTCTGATTCATTTAGCTATACTGGGGTAATTAACTTATTTTTAGCTATAAGATTTCTGCTAATGTGAAATATACCAAGGATTAGAAAATGCTAATGGGAATAACCTTCAGCATCAAAATGTTTGGCTGAAGTACAATTACTTGAAAGAACAATTTATATCTACAAGAAAACAAAAGCAACTCCAGAGGATTACACTTTTGGTCACCTATTTTAGTCAGAAAACTACACCAGAACAGCTGCGTGCTTTAAAGAATCTATATGAACTCAAGTTCAGCATAATGTCTACAGGATTACAAAACATAACATTGCAGTCTCTCAAAATTAAATAGTAGGTCAAACGATGGACTATTTTTGGCACCTGTGTATTAGCTCTTTGGTTTCCCAATAGTTAAGTTACATACAAATAAGACAATTTCAGACATTTTTTTTTCTCTATAAAGTTTTTACTACCCGTGTTTAGGAGACAAAATAAGATGAGCCAAATACAGCCTTAATGATAAGAGATATGATTGTCTATCGGTCTTGTACTATTTTTATTGGTTAATTGTTTGTCATTATGAACTTGTAATGTGTCAACTAAAGTCGGAAGGAGATAGTAGTTTGATAATGTAGTGGTCGTGTTTATATGGCCAATGTCGAGTTTAATGTGGCATAGTATGTGATTGATAGGCATCAAAGATCATAGGTGAAAGTGGAAAAGCATGGCAGGAGCAAAAAAAAGCCTTATGTCGAAGTTAGGTGAGGATGAAAATGACAAGAGTAGAAATAGGCCATAAGATGATTTTATAATTAATCTCTCTTGTTTTGGTGAGTGTATGATAAAGGGGTGCGCGAGAGAGGAGAGAAAGGTGCAACGTGAAGGAAGAAATGAGACAGGGCTGAGCTGAAGCACATTAGTCATTTTGAACAGCAGCCTTGAGAGTTATTGATAGAGAAGATGAGGGTGAATTGAAGGTGGAAGATTGAGCAACCTGTCTATGTAATATGTATGGTATTGCTAAATTTTGTATTTGTTTTTATTAAATTTTTGTTATAAGAGTGAATTTTTCCGTGAGCTACGACAATGGAATATACTTATTTAATATGCTGTTAGTTCAACTTTAGATGAAGAAATGATATTATCGAATTACTGAGGGAATATTAACCAGTATCTTTTTCTTCTCAAAAGCAAAATTCATAAAATATTTTCTCATTTCTCGAAATTCATATATGTATATTATTAAGCATGTTTGGTAGATTTTTTTTTTTTTTTTACCCCATTCAATAGGTTATCTGGATTTGAGTAAAATGATTTCTGAAGCACAATGCATATATCCTATGAACAGATTCAAGTCATTCAACACTATATCACTTAAAGAGAATTAACAGGAGAGGTTTTTAAAATCTATTTAATTATTGAGGGATAAGCCAGGAAGCTTTGACAAGGTTTGGTGATAAAAAAAAGTTGAATTTTGTAAAAAATTCCTCACTCATAATCCTTTGTTGCTACTGAACACTCTCGTGGAAAATCTAGACACTCCGGGGATGTTATGCGTATGATTGATACAATTAATCATTTATTGACTGGGATAAGCAATCCTTAGTTTTTCTGAATTTGTATGTTATCTGCAGACTGTATGCTGGTGTTTCTGATGCTCTAAGATTTACAAGCTTAAGATATACATCACAAAACAGGTAGTTCCTATCCTTGTCAATATATAAACATAAAAGAAAAGGTTCGATGAATCTTTGAAGTACCTCTCAGACCACTAAAATCAATGTAATTATATACGTGGCTTGCAGGTTTGTGTTCATGACTTCATGTTTAAGTTTGGCCTCGATCTCATTTTGCTGATTTCTTTTGCAATACTACTGTTGTAGCTGGATGTTGCCATAAACTTAGGAAATTGTGGTGGTCCTGTCTTTAGTGCCAAAGGCAGTTGTGTAAACATTGCATTTCAATCAATAAAACTGAAAGTATTGGTTATGTTATAAACTTTGCAAGCTTATAAAAGGAGAGAGAAAGAGATCACTTTTAAGAGACCATATCAAGAGTGTACTTGGGATACGGAATACAAAACACTTTAAAAGAGTTACCAAAGAAGGTCCATGGGGGTTTGGGAAAATTATTCAAACCGTAAAATAGAGTTAGATGGAGAGAGGAAGAGGGAACAAGAAGGTTGGTAAGGGGGGGGGGGATACGAAGGATAAATGAGACAAGGAAAAGGGACAAATAGTAAGGAGCCTTTAGATTTGAAGTATATTTTGACGGGTAATTTGAATGCGAGGAGGCCGAATAAGATTAATGAGGCTACCAAGATGCCTGAGAAGAGAAAAGAAGAGATTGAGATTAGGTTGTTGCTGCTAGGTTGTTGCAGAAAATGTCTGAGCAGGGCAGGAGAGGGAAAGGAGGTGGTGGTTTGATGTAGAGTAGTTTGGTTTCTAATACTGGTGTTAAGAAGGTTGGTTATAGGGGAAAATACGGATTCTAAAAGGAATTCTAGCTTTTCTGAGAGAAAGTGGGAGATCTAAAAGGATTTCTAACTTTCTAAGGGTCACATACCATTTTAATTCTTTCAATAAGACTCTAAACTAATCTGTATATTCAATTGTCAGTTTATGTGCATCAATAACTAACATCCTTTTCATTTTCAATCTTAGAGCAATGATATATCTTTCTTGTACATTAAGTGTGATTAGAAATATTGCAAGATCTGTAATTTTCATCACCTGAAGTTAGGTGTGTGTGTGTGTGTGTGTGTGTGTTTTTTTTTTTGGTTAATACAAGTATATAAAATTGTTGCCTTCTTCGGTTGATTGCTGTATTCTTCATTTGATTGTTGTATTCTTCATTTGACAGGTTTTGGGGATTTCTAATGATGAAAGGTACTGTGGATTATAAATAAATGATTGATAGATTATAGTTGAGAAAATTCTTTAGTTAATTAATTGTACATAGTTGTTCATAGATTTTGTCAAAGATGCCATTGTTTGAGTAGCTTCTTGTATACATCAACGATATTACATTCCTTTTGTGGATTATTATATTATTGTGCTATATATGCTTACATTTGTTTTACTTTATGGGTTGTGGTGTCATGGTGCTGGCTTAGTGCATTATTGGGTCAATCAGGACTCAACTTAGCAGTGACTCCTTAGTAATATAAGCTTGTTAAAGCAAATTTAGAGCTCTTTAAAGCAGTTTATCTTATAGGAATTCGTGAATGTTGGGTTTGGTTGCACCATTTAGTGTATGAATCATTGTATTTTGGTGCTTGCGCATTATGTTTGACTTTAGTTTTGGTCCGATTATTGAATTGGAGTTCCTTTACTTTTGTGCAGGTTGATACATCTGTTGGTTAAAATCTCTCTTAGTATGACTTTCAGAATGATCCTCTTTTAGAAGTGAAAACTACTTGTGGGTCTCTTTTGTATGAACTTTCAGGTATGATACAAGCTAATTGCACTTCAGCTCTTCAAGGTTAGGATGTTATTTTTATCTTGTTTTCATCAGTCATTAACTCTGTTCTTTTTGCCTGTTATTTTATATAGATAATATGGGATGAAATGAACAAGCCTGAAATAACTAGGGATATGATATTACTTGAGCTCAAACAAGAATGCATAGAAGTATACACGAGAAAAGTTGATGTAGCTAACCACTCTAGAGCTCAGCTACAACTGGCTATATATTGATGATTCAGAGGTAGAACTTGCAGCCATTTATTCTGCAATTGGAGAACTACCATTACGTATCACATATGTAAAAGTTGCTATAATTAATTTGAGAACTTGGTAGGATTAGTAACCTTCACTCCTTTTTAGAATGCTTGATCAGGTGTCTAATTTTATAATGCTTTGTGTGATTCCGCGGTTTCTATTTCAGTAATTCTTGCCAAAATTCGATTGAAGAAGCTGGAAGCCTGATACTGTTTCAGAAGTCCTTAAAGAAATTTTGTAGGTCATTTATGAGATAAAATTAAATAATTTTTCTTGTTGAGGTTATGGAATACTTCTGTTCATACACCCTTTTTTTTTTTGACAGAGCAACTTTTTAATTGCCAAGCGGTTCATCTTGAATTCTTGACTACAGGCTCATATTGAAAATTCTTAGCTTTATGATTACCCCATAGTAATATTCCACTGAATCCTGCATTTACAGGCAAAGAAATGTGTTGGTACCATGCAGTTCAGCAGTTGATATTCTGAAAAAATTGAAGCTTAGGCTATGCTACAATTGGGTTATTTAATCTTATCAACCCTTTACTTTACATCCACACCATCACTACATAATCCTTTTACAGTTACTCCAATATTTCATCATTCTTTATATTCACTTTCATTTTCTTTAGTTAAATTGTTTATCCCCTCACTTGTACGCTACCCTCAATCCAAGCATGCCTTTAATTGTTAGTCATCTCTCATCTAGTCATTTGAAGGACTGAAGCATTTAGGACTCCCTGTAGCTGAATGTTTGTGCAAAGGACATTCCCCGTCAAGCATAGCGCCTGTGTATTGTATCTTTGGATTTTAAGTGAGGAGTTCTGGAAGAAGCAGGGAATATGTAGTATTTGTGTGCCAATATTAGGCTCTAAGATATTGCTAAAGCTTGTTTTCTGATATTCTGTCATTGGAATTGCGGAACTGTTATCAATAGGTATGGTTTTATTAAGATGTCAAATACAGGTGACTTCAACTTGAGATTACTGTATATTTTTTTTCCTCCATTCGTGCTATGAAGTATGAACTTTACTTGAGAATTTAGATATTGATTTAAATCACCACTTCGGATTAGTGCTGCCAGCCTAATTTGTTGCTGAACAAAGTATTCGACATCCGATTGTTTCTTTGTTTTTTAGGATAAATTTAGCTTACGTAGGATTTATTTCGAGATCACACGAAAGATTTTTTTATATCAAATAAAAGATAAAACAAATATACTTCTTCGTATTCGCAATTTCTACCCTACTCGAGGAGTCCCTAATACTAGTTGCTTCGAATTATGTTAGGGATTTTTTATAAAAAAAAAAAAAAAAAAAAAAAAAATTTGTTTTACTAATTTTATATGTAGAGAATTAAGAAGAAATGCACTTTTAAACTGAAATCTCACACAAGTCAATATATGGTAGAAGGGTAAGAAAATTCCTACTTAAAAGTGCAACAAATGAGGATAGATCTTACAACCTCGGTTATTACTTATTGGGATTTGATCTGACAATTTGAATTAGTCAAGTCTAGTGGACTTGCGAATCAAAAGTACCTCAAGTATTTTACAACTTTAGCACTACCCTGCAAGAGTTGTTCTAGATTCCTAAAAAAAAAAAAAAAAAAAAAAAAAAGAATTTTTCTAGATTGATTTTTTTTTTTAAAATAATAATAATTATTATTATTATTTTTTTACGAGTAATAATAAGAGTTAAAAATGCAACAACAATTGTTGTTGGGAGGGCTTTATGTTCAATTGGCGCCGAGGAGTTTAGTGGTCTAGAATCTCGGTATTGTATTACTAGATACTTCGTATGTTAGTATCAGACTATAATTGTATGAAAGTTGATTTTTTTTTTTTTTAAAAAATAAAATAAAATTGTGCTCTATTCCATTGGGAGTTTTGACACTATTTTATACAAGCTAAGAGGTACACACTATGCGTGTACCATATAAAAAATTAGAAGAAGAAGAAAAAAAAAAGAAATTAACCATAAAAAAAAAATCAAGAGCAGTTTCATTTTTTTTATAGGGAGTAAGAACAATTGAAGATATACATTATAGAAGTGGAGCATTTATTATAGGGCAGTTATGAACTTACGGTAGGTACTCTAGGTAGGGGTTTTTTTTTTTTTTTTTTTTTTTTTTTTAATAATTTTTTTATTTTATTAAATTATTTTTTTATTTAAATTATGGTTTATGTGTATGTTATAGTAGGAAAGGTTTTTTTTTTTAATAATTTTTAATTGTGGGTAAAATGTAATTTTTAAAAAGTAGAAGGGTATTTTAGGAAAAGCAAAATTTATCGACAAAGAAATCCTTTATCTTTATATAGTACTATAGATTTGAGAATTATACATAAAAAAAAAAAATACAATCTTGCACATATTTATTAGAATCTTGTTAATGTGCAAATAATTATACCCTAAGAGTTTGCACGATGATAATTGTTAAATAAGTCAAGTCAATGGAAGCCATCATTACATGGAAAGAGCTTACAACGAATTGAAGGCATGAACGTGCAAGAACAATAATCTATTTGGAGCCTAGGCTAATGCATATAGTTTGCTGATATAATATATATATTGGACGAAGTTTACATTAGAAGCCATCATTTCAACACTAATCACAATATCACTACCTAAAAGCTCTTTTCTTGTCATATTATTGTACGTGGTTGCATCAAATAATACACATGGAAAGGGCTTTGATGATGTACTTCATGGTCCTCCTTATTGGAATTATGTTGCTTCAATCTTCAGGTATATAATTCGTATTTACTTTAAATGCAGAAAATACAAGTGCTAAACTGATAGTATTTCAATCACCCAAAAAAGTGTAATAAGAGGCAACAATCTAGATAAAATTCAATCACATATCTTAAGTACAATTCTTGAAATCTTAACAGGCAAATGTAATTGACATCTTAAAAACATAAAATTATTTGTAGTTTATAATACAACTGATCATTTTTGTTAATTGATGGCTATAGGTGTGACATGTGCAAGGACTACACTCCAAGGGCCAGTGAGAATGCTATTGGACTTGCCCATGATGAGAGCCTCTAACTCCGTTGAAGCTTCTGAGGATCCTTAAGATTCTTCAATTGTGTAAAATTGGTTACCTTCCAAATATGGTCTTAAACCCAATTTGGAGACAAAATCAAACAAAAATTAACCAGGGAAGTGCTAAGAATCCAAAGAACTCGGCATATTCTCGTTTCGTTGTCTCTAACTACTTTTTTGAATGGATCCATCGACACTTAGTTCTTAATCTTGTGACTTGTGAGGAACAAAGTTCTTGTGATGATTTTGTAACCCTCGAATCCGAGCAATAATCAATCATAGCTATGTAAAACTAAAAACCCTATCAAACGTAAATAAAATCTTGTCTTATATACAATTCATTAATACGAAAATTATACGCGTAGTGTCATTAATACAAAGTATTTGAGTACAATCAATATTCTATCAAAATTTACACAAAACTCATACTCCGTACTTAAAAAAAACTCATTAATGCTATAACCAAGGCCTTCTAATATCTTGTGCAGCAACCTCACGCCAACCAAGTAAGTCAACAAGCAAATTAATCTTCACTTTTTATCCTGAAAAATTTTCAAAGAGATTAAACATTAGCACACAATTATTTACAAAAATATATATACAAACTTGAAACTAAAAATTACACTAACCCACAACTAAAATAAAAAATTGAACGCCTCATTGTATATGATGCTCGGTTCGATTTTAAGAACAATATAACATAGAAATAATTTTAGTTCTCGAAATATATGTAAGCTAGCTCTCCATCTTCTACAACTCCTCTGTTGATCCTACATAAATCAAGTCATCCACAGCTTCGTTATCCTACTCATGAAACAATGCTAAAAGATCTCATTAAAAACACTTAATCTTGCTGCTAAAATCAAGTCAGAGAGCTCCATACTCCGTAGATTCTCAAGCTCAGACCAATCTAATTTTTGAGCTTGGCAATATTCTTAATGAAGCTTTCAGGCTGGGATATATTATACTCGTATGAAATTGCCCACCCTGTTTTGTAAGTGATGCAGTGCATCTATGTGTTTCACCTTTGCAACTTTTAAACCTGGTTAAATTTTACCTCTCCTTCCATAAGCTGTCCTAGCCTGATAATTCTTGCTTATTTTACTGTATTGTATTACTACAAACATAGCTTTCAACATAATCAAATAGTCCTCAGATTTCTTATACGCTGTGTAGTGCATGTTTAAACTACTGTCTGTTACTAAGTTCAGTATGTAAGGTGTTTTCTCTTCTTGAATTGTCCCTTTGCACAACAATCTGTTTCTCTCATTTTCCCTTTCATGCTTTTACAATCTTTTCCAACTTACATAAAAGCATACATTATACAGCTTTAATTAATGCGACTCAAGTGAAATTCAAGTGTTTTCCCCCCAAGGTGTCATGTGAGACACATGTTCAAGTATGGTGAGGGGTTTTCCCTCTCTGTGTCTCTCCTAGTGATTCCATCCAACCAAAGAGAAGGTTATAAGCAGCCACAACAGATATATCAAACATAAAAGCAAGCATTGAAGACAAATCATAATAAGTATCAAAACTACATTCAGCTACTGATTAACTCATCCATAAGAGACAGACCAACCCAGTAAATCAGAAACCATCACAATTCACAAGTATCTTGCTCAGTTTGCAAAAAGAAATTTCAGTATCTTGCTTGGTAACAAACTGTACTACATACCTCACCTCTGACAGAAAACTACCTTTACTATTCTAGCAAATGCCTTCTCTGATCTCACTAGTTAGACACACCAACACAAGTATCATTTACATTTGGTTCAGAATGTACAAAGTTCAGTTGGATGTGTACTTTTTCATAGACCTTATAGAAACCAAGGTCCGCAGACCGCAGTGTAAAGTTTCATTTGGTTCTTTTTTCTTACTAAGGAAGGGGAAGAAAAAAGGAACACTACAAAGCTATAGAAATGACCATGAGCAATCAGTCAAATTCAAGCACTATGGGCTTCTCTCACTTGTACTATTGGGAATGTCTTTTTGACAGGCTGTTGGATCTCTTGTAAACCTTCAGAATCAACTATACTCTGAAAAAAACAGATTATTAGAAACCATATAATAATTCAGTAGCTTGCTGCCAGTTGAGTCCTGACTTCAAACTGACAAGACCCTAATGTTTGACACTAACCTCAATCCTCCATAGGATGAGCTGATTTCCCCTTAGTTGTATGATAGCCATGTGTAACATGCTCTGATATCTTACTCTTCCCTTTCCCAGTCAGCAGCAGATTCAGTGGAACCTTGTCCAACCTTTTCCACAGTCTCAGCAGAAGATTCAGTGGAATCCAACCTTTTCCACAGTCTCAGCAGAAGATTCAGCGGAACCTTGTCCAACCTTTTCCACAGTCTCAGCAGAAGATTCAGTGGAACCTTGTCAAACCTTTTCCAGCAACAAAGACAAGTATTATATCAGGATCATATTCCATAATTTACACTGGATACTTCTTTACATGAAACATAACAGTCGTAAAATAAAGGCAACAAAAATATTTCAGAAGTTCCATAGTTTGGATGTCGTAATTAAAAGGTTACTGATTATATATTTTGTCTTGAAAAGTATCCATATTCCATTATCTCATGTAAAAGATTATGCAGCCAAAAATGTTATTGATAATTGACCGATTCATTTAGTAATTTAAGTTACACTTGAGTATCATCCATAATGCAACATTCCTGAAAGATTGACCTTGTGGAATAGACTAACTTATATTGGAAATAGACAGGCCTTCTAAATTCCATTGTTACAATGACCAATCAACATTGGGCAACTTAGATAACATAAGATCAACATTTAATTTATCCTCATATATAATAACCATTACTTTATAAGTTTATTAAAGAGTAACATTAGGTGTGTTACTCTATAACACAACAATATGAGACCACAATTGAGTCTCAGACACCAGAAACAATCGCATGGTCTTGGACCATTGCGTGCCTTCCCTTGCAATAGGTAACAATATCTTTTGAGTGACTACTACTTATGGTGTAGACACCCATTTGTGTCTGATAGGTTGTCGTACATCTGTCAAAAATAAATTCCTAACAAAACCAACTAACAATGTAGTAGGGTAAGTAGGGTCGAATCCACAGAGAGATGTCTATTTAATCTAGCTTTCAAGGTATGGAGAAACTAAACTATGTCACGAAATTGGGATAGGGAAGTAGTCTAAATTAAAATAGGAATAAAACAATCGATAAAAAGACCTAGGGTTGTGGTTCACCATGCTTATAGTTCTAAATCTATCAAATATCAATAACAATTCAATCAATCAATTATCTAGAGAAATGGCTAAGCCTACGGTCGGGTCTTAACGCTCTCAATTCAATATATGTAGTTCGATCGCTAACATAATCAGAATTGCTAATTGTAGGGAAGCCTCTAAAAGTAAGATCTTTCGATTCAAACTCTTATTAACATGAATTAATCAAACAATTGATCAGGTAGCAAGATTAATAAGAAAAACACTATCAATTAGAGATATCAATAATCAAATCATAAATAATATCAATTAAGAATTAAAGTATAAACACAGATTCCCAAACCCTAGAA